CAGAAAAAATACATAGCTGTTTCCAAAGTAATCAACTACACAGCTGAATTTCACTTTAAAACATTCTGTATTTGTCTTATTTAATTCCACCATTTTTGAGATTACATCTTATAATGCAACAGTTATGCTAATATGAATATATTACTGTTTTCTGTAAAAATGAAAGAAAGGTATTCTGGATTGACAAAATTTGGAAGGAATCAAAGAGAATGAAATAGTTTGTTTTACATTCGGTTTTCTCTTGTTAACCCTATCTCACTCCACCCAAAAAACAAACCAGAAATGCTCCAAAGGATGTTTTATGTCTTCTTTGAGGAAGTACATTTAGATTTTTTTTTAACTTTCTTATATAAAGAAAGAGACTGCATCATTGACCTGCTAGGGTAAAAAGTAATGTTTTTATACCTTATAAAAATTAGAATAGAAAGTAGAGAGTCCTAAATTGTGGTGGTCCTTTTTTTTTTATGTTAACTCTTCTCATCTGAATGATAGAGAAAGTAGTACAATATTGTCAGGCAGTTTTTTAAATGAGGGAAACTATTCATTTGGATAAATTCTCTAAGCTTTAATCGCATATAAATTTTTTCCCCTGAATTCAGTAGTATAATGGGCTTCACTTTAAAATATATTCTATAGTCAACAAATAGAATTTTTTCAGGACTTCCAAATTCTCTGCCTGTTTGAATATTATCAAGGCAATAAAGATTTATAATTTTTAAATCCTTTGAAGATAATGCTCCAAATCACCATGCTTTGTATTGATGTTTAGGAGGCTTATTCAAACCAGTATTTCTTACATATAATGATTGTGTGACTTCATTACACATTTGTCAACTTTGGACTAATTATTTTTATACAGCTAGGGCAGGGCAGTGCATCTTGTGATCGTCTTTCTTACTAATAGGATTCTGTCTGCTTCAGCAGGCAGTAATTGAAGGCTTCATGTACAGAGAAGAGGAAAAAAAAGTTTTAGCCTGAGTGGGCCATTGTCACAGCTTCTGGTAACCAGTAGAACAGAAAGCACAAGAAAATTGAACTCAGAATAGAAAAATCAGAAACCAGGAAGACTATCCAAGAGAAGAAAAAGCATGTCTTAGAGCTGTTGCATTAAGTGTAGCAAATCTGATTGTAAGAAATTTTATGTTTGTGAATACTCTGCTGGTTGATAACAGCCTATCAGATAAGTATTTTAATGTTCCTGTTCTTTTAGCATTTCACTTGTTAGAACAATTGAGTTGCAAGACATCTTTTCCTTCTAACAAAGAATATTTATGGCCCATAAACAGTTCTTCAAGTTAAAAAGAAGTGTAACTTAAGTTATCTGATTAACTTCATATTCTGAAGGTAATATACTTTTAAGAAAAATGTATATATTTTATTTGCTTAGTTTTTTTGGTTCTAAATCTTAAAATTGAATAGATTTAATGTTAGTTATTAGAAATAATAGACATTTATAAAGATGACATATAGATCTATCTAAATACTTTCACCTTCTCAGATGATGACTATAAGATAGCAAGTGCTTAGTGGTAGAATGAAATGAAAACTTAAAGAAAAATATCTAGGTGGTAGCCTTATAACAACGTGGAACCTATCATACATAGGCAGTACATCTTTAACTGTCATCCGTGTATTTGTTCTCATTTTTGGTGCATCTGGATTTCGAGGTTGATTGGCCTTCCACCAGCCCCTCCCAGGTTATAGCTCCATTCAAAAAGGTTTTTATAATTTTCATTACTGGTGGCTTTTGAGAGAGTGGCTATTATTTAATTTTTTTTAATCTTGAGGGCAGGGATTATAAAAATACAGCAAGATGCATGAGTCACAGAATACAAAAAGATCAACATGCAAATTTTGCAGGGAAAAAATTTTCCTTCCAAGTTTGTGTATAGAACAAAAATAAGTTATATATTTATTAGATAAATAGGAAAAACATAATTTATCTGTTGACTAATAAAAACAAACGTTAATATTAAGAGAACATGTGTGATCTGGAGTCAGTGCTTAGGTTTGAATTCCTGCTTCACTGTTCACTGGCTCTGTGTCCCTGACCAAGTACCTCAGCTTCTATGGACTCCAGTTCTTCATTTCTCATTAGTGACCTGCCTAATATGGTCAAATGAAATAATGCAAGTGACATACTTAGAACTGACCATCAGTCACATGCAAACACTTAATAAGCAGTAGCTGTTATTATCATTACAGTGATCAAAAACTTCTGTGCTTCTGAAATTTTTGAGACCAAGTATAGAGGCTCTGATGTCATTGAATTTAGTAAATCAATATTTATAATCAAGATTTCTTACATGCAGAAACTTACTGGTTATGGTTTACTAGGTAGTACTCTCTATAACTGTCTTTTTAAAGGTATACTAAAACGTTACTTGTTCAGAAGTGAAATGATTAATAACTTTTGGGGAGTGACTTTTACTTTCCATGGACCCAAACAAATCATTTGTAATCCTGCTGTGTTTCAATTAAATACATCCTTTTGAACTGTGAAATGAGATTGTCAGGGTGTCTGGTCTCCTGGTCTGCTTTAAAGCACTGCTTCCACCAGGTATGCCCACCAGAATAGTTAGAAAGCTTTGCACCAGTTAGATTTTGTTGCTAGGATGACTTGCTTATTAGTAAGTCCACTACAGTGGAAAAATGTACCTTTAATCATTATAGCACAGATAGTATTGTAATAATAGGATTTCAGAAACATATCTGATATTCTGATTTTAATCTCTGTAAACATACTGACACCAAAACTGATGATTATCTTTACCTAGTTTGTATTATTGGTAACATTGACTCTTAAGTTTTTAATACAAAAGAAACAAAATGTGCCTTGGGGCTTTTCAACCCAGAAATTCAAACAGTGCCTCTGTGTTTCTATTCAGACATAATCTTCTCTATGGTCTCAAGGCAGAAGTGTTAAATAAATAAAAGGCCGAATGAGACTATTGTTGACATAATTACAACCCTGTCAGAAAGAATTGCAGGTGTAATGACCAAATCTGTGGGAACATAGTGCCCTCATATCCTTTGATGGCATTAACAGAAATACAGAAACTGTATTCTTCTATGAAAGCAGAAGAACCCTAAAATTTTAGACAAGAGAAATGAGTAAACCTGCAAAGAGTGACAGATAAGGGAGGATGTTTGAAGGCTGACGATCTTTGTATTCTGTTAAAGATGAAATTGAGGTACACAGTTGCTAATCTCTTGTGAGATTTGTACATCTGAAGTCCAGATGTAAGCAGTTTACAGTAGAAACATTGGTATGAGTTTTGTTCCCATACTAGTTATTTACAGTTGGTTTGTCCTTGCAAGTTTCAGTGTGTTTGAAAACAGTAACAAATAGATGAGCAGAAAGTTTTATAAATGTACTTTCTTGACATCCTACTGGGTAATGCTTTAAAATACAACATCAAAGTATGGTTAATATTTTAATTGAATAAGATTACCATATTTGTTTTGCTTTTATTGCATTATTCTACTTGCTGTTTGAAAACTGATTTTCATTATTCTATTTAGACCAAAAAAATGTTTCATTTGGATTTTTTTAAAGAATTTAACATATTATAAGATCTTGATGTCATTTTTTAACCCAAAAAAGAAATTACTTTTCATTTAAAGAGAATCTGCTTCCTGCTTAAGTGGCTAATATTTTAATTAAGTCAGGAGTGAAGTTTTTCTGAGTGTCTCCTGATAAACTCCCTCTTTTATGTTGATGGTAATTAAACAGATCCCTGAGGACACCGCAGGCTCTGTGCAAGGCCCATGCTAATTGTCAGACATGAGACACTGACCAGTTGGTTTGCTCTTGAATAGTCCACAGCGTGCTGTCAGCGCAGTTTTATTTTTATGTATTGTGAGCTGTTGTCAGGGCTAACTGGGTGCCATTGTGGCTGAAGATGTTGCGCAAATTGAGGCAGATGGCTCAGATTCAGACACGTGTCATACAGAAAGGGGAAAGGGGATTGGCCCTGCAAAGTGGGGTCACAGCAGGTCACAGACCTGCTTTGCACTTGTTAGTGTTTTCAAAAGCTCATGTGCAGCAACTTTGTTCTTCTCCAGTCATCCCTGCAATCACACTCCCTCCTCCCAAAAATATGTGGGACATGCTCCATGTGGAAAATGGAGGCAAGGGAGGCTCTCATCCTCTTCCTTCCATCTGAGGGCTCAACTGTGCAAGCAGAATGGATTAGGAGGACTTACAGGGTTTGCTCTTTAGGCAATTTAATTGTAGTGCTTAAAAGGCTAGGTTTGCTTTTAACTCCTTGCGATTAGCAGGTTCTTCATGTCTTGGAATTTACTAACAACACATTAGACCTCAAGTTTCTTCATTATATTCTAAAGTAAAAAGAAGAATCTAAGGTTCTAAACATTTAGGGAGAAGAGAGTGTGAGGTTGTACTTCACTGTCATGTGATTTTGTCTAATATCATTAGCATTAGAGAGGGAATTTGAATATTTTTACATGAGTGAATTCTTTACGAGTAAGAATTTTATAATGTACATAAAATTATCTAACTTCTTGCATAATCATTTTCACATATGAGGAATTAAAATTTCAAGCTCTTTGAGAGCGGTACCTGTTCTTAACATGTTTTAAAAATAAAAATATACTTGCTTATTTTATGGGGCCTGTGCATAGAGACATGTTTAACACCAAGTAAATGAGTGCTTCCCAAATCTTCCATAATGAAGAATTATCCACATGCAGCTATGGTTCAGAAATAATTTAAATAGGCTTCTTTTTCTTATTCTGTTTTTTGTGTTTTTTTTTTAAATACACTACATCTACCTGCTTAGGGTAAGCATAGGCTAGACAACTTATTGATTTTTCAATAACTGGCTTTGAGGTTTTGGCAGTAAGGAACCCTCAATAAATTCATTCAAGACAAAAAAAAAAAAAAGAGTTACTTCAAACTATTTGAATTTATATTGTCTCCCCCTTCCCTGCCCTGCCCTGATAAAAGTTCTCTCTTTTTTCTTTTTTTCTTCTAGGTTTGCAGCTAAAACTGTGCACAGTGGGTCATTGATGCTGGTCACAGTGGAACTGAAGGAAGGCTCCACAGCCCAGCTTATCATCAACACTGAGAAAACTGTGATTGGTTCTGTTCTGCTGCGGGAGCTGAAGCCTGTCCTGTCCCAGGGGTAACCTGCTTACATCTGGACTTCAGAACCTGGCACACAACAAAAGTGCCTGGCATCCACTACTGCTGCCTTTCATTTATAATAATAGCCCTTCCATCTGGCAGTGGGGGAAGAATACACTCTTGACATTCTTGTCTCCTGCTTTAGAATGCTAGTGTGTATCTATCATGTATGCAATACTTTCCCCTCTTCACTTTGCTAACCAAAGAACAGATAGATATTTTACTGTCAGTTATCTCAACTCTTGAATCCATGTGGCATTTTCTCTGTCTTCCTACTTCCTTATCTTCCTTCTCTTTTCTATCAATGATGAATATGAATCAAGTATTTAAAGTATATTGGAAACCATCTTTCCTTCAGCAGTAAGCAAAAATTAGCAAAGAAATAGTCTAAATTGTCTTTCAGCCTGGTATATGAAAATGAGATAATACCTTTTAGAATTAAATGCAAAAGCATGGTCTGCAAAATTTTTTTCTTTGAATTTTCTGGTATTATAATTGGTTATTGACAGCTGTCATCATGTTATCCCCAAATAATAAGATGAATAAACTAGCATATGAACACCATTTGTCTTTGCATTTTATTTTATTTTTTTTTATTTTTTATTTTTTTGGGTCCAGTCGTGGGGCCTGAACTCTGGGCCTGGTCGCTGTCCCTCAGCTCTTCAGCTCAAGGTTAGCGCTCTACCACTTGAGCCACAGCACCACTTCCGGCTTTTTTCTTTTTGCTTATGTAGTGCTGAGGAATCGAACCCAGGGTCTCAGGCATGCAAGGCAAGCGCTCTACCACTGAGCCAACTTCCCAGCCCTTGTCTTTGCATTTTAATGAGAAACTTTATAATCCAGAAGTTCATTTGCCAAGCTTTCTTTATTCTAAAGTAAGTATCTTGAATTAATATTATACAAAGAAGCAATGGATTTGCTGAAAGAAAAACTAATTTTAAATCAGGTAAATTTTCTAGCTGTGCTACAGAGTATTTAGCTCCAAAGAAAAAATTAGTGTGTTTAATAACAAAAGCAAATTTTTTCATGTTTATTAAGCAAAATATCTATTTAAGTGCAGTGTTAGTCTGTTAGTTGAGATCTGATTGTGTGACCAATTATACCTACAGTATCAATTTTTGAATTTTGTTTTTCCTTTACAAATCATACTGCCTAACTTTGATGGAAGCTGTTAACAGCTTGTTTTATGATCAGTTATATGAGCATCTTTCCATAGAATAGTAATGTGCTATCTTAGGTAAGTATTTTTAGGTAAGTATCTTAGGTTAGTATTTTTTTCATAATTGTACTGAATAGTCAAAAATACATTTAATTTTTTTTCTTTGCTAAGTACTAGGGCTTAATCTCAGCTTCATGCTCAGCTTGCTTGTTCATGAGTGGTGCTCTGCCACTTGAGCCACACTTCTAGTCTACATTTTGTTGGTTAATTGGATATGGAATCTCATGGACTTCCTGCCATGGCTGGTTTTGAAACATAATGCTCCTGATCTCAGTCTCCTACGTAGCTAGAATTATAGGCATGAGCCACCAGTGCCCAATTTCATCTAACACTTTATACTTTTTTAAAAAAATCAGTTGAAATCTTATTTGCCTTTCTGATATGAGGTGATGGACTTTGGTATAATATATACCAGTCATTTCCCTTTTTTAAGGTCCACATAACTAATGGCGTGGTTTTTTTTGTTTTGTTTTTTTTTTGTTGTTGTTGTTGTTGTTTTGGTCCAGTCGTGGGGCCTGAACTCTGGGCCTGGGCGCTGTCCCTCAGCTCTTCAGCTCAAGGCTAGTGCTCTACTACTTAAGCGATAGTGCCACTTCCAGCTTTTTTCTTTTTGCTTATGTGGTGCTGAGGAATTGAACCCAGGGCCTCATGCTTGCAAGGCAAGCGCTCTACCACTGAGCCACCTTCCCAGCCCCGTGTGGTTTTTTTAGAGACAAGTTCTCACTAAATTCTTGGAACATACATATATTAAGAAGAGTGAAACAGGATATGGATTTTTTTTTTTAATTTTCAAGCTTGTGAACTAGAAAGAGTAAACATGATTGCTAGAATTTTTGTTCCTGAAATATATCAGTGACCTTGAGTAAAGAGAGGAACATTCTGGTACATATAATGACCTTTGGTTCTGTAAGACTATATGACTAGTGAGGTTATAGCCACCTTAGTTTGAGGAAGGATACTGTATGAGGTTCTCACAGTGATGAAATCGCCTAATGAGGCATTTCTGAGATCCTATACCTGTTGCCAAGTGACACATGACTGTATTACCATAGAAGCCTTTATGTTCTCATCCTGCAGCTTTGTATGCAGTGGTAAAACTGACACCCAAAAACAGCTCTTTTAATTGCAGTCCATTGGCATTTCCATTATTAACCTTGCTCTTGGGGCTTTTTTGTCTTTGGATTTGTAGTAGGAACTTCTTGAAATATTGTACAGACTATACTCATTGTCTCCAGGAAAAAAGGAAGTATGATAGAAAAGTTTTTATTTTTCTTAAATCAGGGCCTTCATCTTTGAAAATAAGTTACCCATTTGTATTTCCTTTTGAATTTTTTTTAAGCTGCCAGCTGTTAGATTTAAAATTATAGTATAGTATAGTATAAAATCTATAGCTAATAGTAAAATGATACATATTGATTATAATGTAGACTACCAGTTAAGATCAATTTAACATCAATACTTTATCATTAAAATGTTTTCATGTAAATGAAATCAGAAAAATGACCAAATTTAAAGTTTGACAGTGATTCAGAATTCTTTGCCTCATATTTTTTTAACTTTGTCATAATCATGATTACCTTTTAAGTTATTTCATTGACTCAAGTTAGTAAATGTTGAATTTTTTTAATTTTGGCATTTTTTAAAATTTTAATGTTCACTTGATGGCACATTTTATGTATACCAATCTTGAGGAATAGCTCTTATAGCAAATTTCAGACTGAGCTAAAGGAAAATCTAAGATAATTATTTTTGTTCCCTTTCTGTAATCTCTGACCTTATAGGAATTTTAAAAAGAAGGAAGAATCTTCTTTTGGAAGAATAGGAGAGGGAAAGAGCTGTATGATACACAAAATTATTAGAGACTCTGTATTTTCTTTTTAAAGACTGTGTATGCATGGTCAGGGGTATAGTCAAATATAAGATGATGCTCTACACCTCCTTTCCTACCCCCAAGAAACCTTGGCAATGTAATTAATTGGCAGTAAAGAAATGAAATGGGTGAGTGCCGCCAGTGGCTCACACCTGTACTCATTGCTACTCAGGAGACTGAGATTGGAGGATAGAGGTTCAAAGCCAGCCTGGGCAGGACAGTCAGTGAAGCTCTTTATCTCCAATTAACCATAAAAAGTGCAGAGTGGAGATGTAGCTCAAGTCAAGAATACTAGCCTTGAGTGCAAAAGCTCTGCTTAACTTAGAGAAAGTTTTTGTGATCATTTTCACCATATTCCTGGGGGTTTTGATGAACAAAAAGAGGAAAAGAGGGAGGAGGGGAGAAAAGAAGGAACCAAGGATAGCATATTTACAATAGTGTTTATTATAAACTTAGACAAATTGCGATTAATAGAAAAATCCATCCTTGGGTGGACTAGATTTTTTTCTGTATCTTTACAAAGACATCTCCCTTGTTTATGTGTCTACCTGGGAAGTAGCTTTCACTACCACCAACCCAGTGCTTTGTCTTGATAGCATCACTTTTGTTTCTATACTTTGTCATGGAGTCAGGAAATTTTATGATCTACTCAGGACGCTAATCATTTTTCTAAGGAAAACTATTTTAAATGTGGGATCACTTGGCAAATAAACTTGGAAGGCTGCTAGTTGCAAACAGTTTTCAGGAAACATGGTAAGACAGTGGCATGATTGTCGGATAGCACCAGGGAGTGTCACCCAGAGTCAGGGCCAGCTGAGGTGGTGAAGCCACCATCCCAAAGGGAAGGTAGCATTTAGGGGAAAAGAGAGTTTCCAGGAACCAGGGGGTTCTTGGCTAACGCTGTATCTTAAGTGTTTTTACAATACCTTAGTAAGAAAAGTAGCACTGACTGCATGATAAAAAGTGATGTTTTCTTCCTGTTCTTGTTGAGTTTGTCTTCTTTCTTCACTCTTTCTCTGCTAGCAGTGTTGAGGTAGAAACCAAAGTGGAGACCTTGAACTGGAGATCAGGAGAAACATGACTTTTTGCGCTCCTATGCTATTGCAGGTTCTATAATAAGTGATTTCAGGCTTATAGTCCTATCCTATTTCTGCGGAGCCAGATTTACATACATAGTCAATTGTATGTATAATTCCCAGCTGGTTCAGTAAATATATACACTGAAAGTCCTGAGTGTCAGAACTCACATGAAGAATTGTTACACCCAACACTGCCTTGTTTTCAATGACAGTGTGTGACACTGGCTCTGCCTCTGCAACCTTGAGGATCAGAGATATCAAAGGTCTAGGCTTACTTGTTTAGAAAAATCTTTATCATGACCCATGGGTAATGCTGTTAGAAGGTTCGTCCATGCCAAGCCTGAGACTAGGTACTTCATAAGTGCTTGCTATGCACCTCCTGCTTTCTACTGGCCTGGGATGGGAGGAGATGGAGAGTTGCCATGCAGAAAGGATAAAGACATAGTAGAGGGAGGAGGAAAGGTTGTCTTTCTCAAATTATGCCCAGCCAGGATACTTATCCCCACCCACCCACACACACACACGCAAAGAGTGCCTACTTCACACCTCCATCTAGGAACCATGCTTTTTTTTTATGGGATAAATGAGAGCTTGTGTTTTATGGTAGGATATGGATAACAGGAAGCAATTATTAAGGCCCTAACCTACAAAAAGCAAAACAAAACAAAAAGCATTTTAAAGCTTTGGCAGAGTCATTAAGGAAATTTGGCCCCTCACCCTAAACTTAAACCACACTCTTCATATGTTCATTTTCTTAGGCTTATTCCCTTCAGCAGTGAACAGGATGTAGAATTAGGAGTTGCAGCTGGGGGTGAGTTATGAGTTCAAACATGCTGTTAACAGGAGGCCCATGTCGAAGTTTGGGAAAAAACTAAATATCCACCCAGCTGAAATATGTGTTGGTTTTGTTGGGTGGGTTGGTTGTTTGGGGGTTTTGTCTGTTTTTTGTTGGGTTGGTTTTTTTTTTTGAGTCTTGAAATAAGCCAGCATGAAAAGGCCTGATAGTGACACCACACAGATCATCACCCAAGAGCACTCTTCCTTGACCCAAGAGCCTCCGCTCTGCAAGCCTCATCAAAACCTTAGAGCCTAACAAAATATTTTGCAAGCAAAGTTATGGACAGCTCAGTTCTCTAATTGAAAGTAATCATGATTTCTGTGCTGTGCTATAATTACCTTTAAAAATGTTATTTGATGATTAAGATTCTGGAGTGAATTGTGTTCTGTGGGCTCTCGCTCCATTCCTCCATCAGGGACTTGGTTTCAGCGGTGTGCAGCTGCTGGAGTTGATTTACAGTGCTGCGGCTGTGGCTGGTCATAAATAAATCCTCTTATATAGTTGTTATGAACACCTGTTAGATCATCTGTCAGCAAAGCGCTGTTCACATTTATCATG